AAAACGGCGGCACAAACCACGGATAAGACGAACTCGCTGTACAGGCTGTTTCTAGTGAAGTCACAGAAACAACAACACTTCAGCGTGTTTCTTCAGTCATTGGGATTCCACGCAACTGCTACGACAGCTTATGTAAAGGAAGAAAATAAAACAACAAAACGTCCGTGTAGCTGCTCATTCATTCAGGTCACGGTCATCGTAGGAGCCTCAGTGGAAACCAACGAGACTTCTCCTGTCGGTAAAATCAGAAACAAAACCACGCTCTGCCAAACAGAAATTGGCTGACATGAAAACAATTTAATGCTGAATGAATGACACGACGCAAAATGACATTTGGGTCTGATGACTATCCTGCTGCTGTCCATCTGATTTCAAAGGAGCAGCGTCCCTCTGAGCCGAACAGGATCACAAACATGTGCACCAGTGGCCTCGGTGTTGTGGAGAGGGGATTATGTAGCGTACCGCACAAAGCTGTGGGTATCTTGAGGCAGGAGTGTGGGTTGCATGGTGACAAATGAAGGTGGAGGAAGACAAGCACAGAGGGATGAGGCAAAGGAAATGATGTAGGCAGGTTGAGCACAATCCTTTAGAGAGAAAAAAAAAACGAGAATGTGTTCACTCTCTCCCAAAAGCCTGTGGAGGGGAAGGCAAGAGGCAAACACCTGTGTAAAGAGCGAAGGCTCTGAGTCACTCCAGGATCCAGATTTAACAGCACACGAGTGTGTGCGTGGATGAGACAAGTGAGCGAAGGCAGTGCTGCTAATGAGGATTTGGAAATCCAATCACAGGCTCTGGCTGCAACAATTGGCAGTGCCATTTTAAATGACACACCGCCACTGCACAGAACAATAGCAGACCTACCAAAAATCAACAGATTGGAAGGCGAGATCCAACCATGACAGAGATGACACATGCAGGGACACAGCTTGCTGATGAGCTGGAAACGTAATTATTTTCCACTGCCAGCCTGAATTGTGTGAGTTTCCGTTGTGGGAGGTGGACACTCGGCGGTGCCTCCGGACATCTTAAGTAATTTCCGTCTTGTTTTTATAGGTTCAGCCTTCATCTCAGTGTTTTAAATAACACTGTACTCACCGAACCCCAGTTTGTGCTCGTTTGTCAGTATTGTCGTTACATTTGAAACACAAAGCGAAGCGTTACGTTTTCTGAAAGATAAATGCCAAAAAGGTGTTTAATGAAACTTACGGCTCTCTTGAAAGACTTTCCAGAACCTCAGAGGAGCTCAATCTTCTAATCTAAAGAGCCGTTCCATCACTTACAATAAAAGTATTTCTATATATATCTACAAATAGATCACAATTCGGGTCATCAGAAAAGTGCTAGACTTATTTTTTAGTAGTGTCACGCCGTTTCCATATCTCAACAATCAATGTGGTCAGCTGACTGTTATTTATTTATTTATTTGTTTGTTTATTCTACCCATCTACCCATCTATCCATCTATCCATCTATCCATCTATCTATCTATCTATCTATCTATCTATCTATCTATCTATCCATCTATCCATCTATCCATCTATCTATCTATCTATCTATCTATCTATCTATCTATCTATTACAACAGACCAAACTAGCGGTCAAACCTACAAAATAAAATAAAGTTCTTATAAACTTTATCATCATGTGAGAACGATGGTGATGCCAGTGAGGTCGCGGGGAACTGGGTCTGGTGTCGTAGCTTATGTAAGCGGAGCCAGGGCCGGCGCAGAAGCAGCGGTGGAGTTTGATAATAACAGAGAGAGGCAGAAAGGATGTCGAGCTGGAGGGGAAGAGAAGGAGCACAGAGACAGAGGACTGCAGAGAGAGAGAAACCCAAAGAGAAAGAAGTATAGTTAAGCACAGAGGTGAGAGGCCAAGAAAAAGAGAAGTATGTGTGAGAGAGTGGGAGAAGGCAGCACAGAGAGAAGAAGTGTGATACAGAGGGAGGAGGGAGGGAGGGGGTGGAGGCTGTAGTTGTGTTTGCGCTTGTGAACGATGCACCATCTCAGCAGCAGCACAAGTAAAGCTGTGCTCTAATCCTCGCATTAAAACCGCTGCTGATTCACTAAGGCAGATTAGTGACATTTTCCCACTTTCCTCTGCTGTCCCCCTACTGTACCATGACCACTGCATGTCCTTAACCTTCGTCATGGGCCAAGAAAATCCCCACCTGTTAGTTTCTTTCTCCCACCAATATCTTCTCAGCTATCAATAAACAAGGCTGCTGAACTGCGAAGGGCAAAAAAAAAAAAAAAAAAGGTGGGTGGGCAGAAGAATTCTAGCGCCCACGCTAGGTTTTTACATACTGCACGCCTCTCATATTTGCCCTGGGGTTCCCCTGTCCGCTCCCCTGGCATTCAAACTGCAGCTCAACTCCTGCCTCTCCATCTAAATATAGAGCCTGTATTGCTGCTGAAAGAATTACCATGTCCTTCAAAGTCATTAGAAACCATTATCAGAAGCCTTCATGGCCCCGCGCTCAGAGTGCGGCAGTGCTGGAGCAACTCTTTTATAGCTGCTGTCTGCAGAGTTTGGCTTTTTGTAACTCTGTAAATCTCCACAGCTGACATATAGACACTATAGTATAGTAGTGACTGAATTCCCAACAGACTTATTTAGTTATTACAGCAAACATAGACTGGTAGCCCCTCACCTCTGAATACCTCTAAAGCCAGCTGCTAGTCTCACATACCCAGACCGCTCTGTACCTCATCTTCACTGAACTTTACTGAGTTAAGCAAAGTATGCAACATCCATCCATCCTCACAATTTACAATCACCAATTAACCTCAGCATGTTTCTGGACTGTGGGAGGAAGCCGGAGAACCCGGAGAGAACCCACGCTGCACGGGGAGAACATGGAGACTCCACGCAGGAAGATCCCGGGTGTCCTCACCGGGACGCCAACCGGCAACCTTCTAGCTGTGAGGCCACGGTGCTAACCACCGAGACACCGTGCAGCCTCCTTAAATAGTGATGGGTGGAATTGTTTGAGTGGAACATTTGCATGCAGGAAGGTTAGCACAGTCATTAAAATGGATGAATAAATAAAATAATAATTATAATAATTAAACAGCAGGCCTGCCTTACTTCAAATCTAAATCTTCAGCTAAACTTGAGATGTACAGAGTGGTAGGCAGCTGTTTGGAGGTTGTTGTCGTTCCTCCTATAGCAAAGGGGATTTTTAACGAGGTAACACTTAGATAGCTGTGTAAAATGTACGGCCAATTATACCCTCCATCTATATCCAGTGAGTCAGGCTAAACACCCCTTTAGCCAGTGTAAACAGTGCTGCTATTAGCTTAAAAAAAAAAAAAAAGTCAGGTTTTATAATCTTGGCCTTATTGTTGTATCCTTGGCTAATGTATTTATTGGCTATGATATGAACCAAAGTACCTGCTGAGACCTGGAGCACACTGAACAGGTCCAACAGGACATAAAACACAAGCTGTGGAATGATCTCCACATTATCCAACATCTTCATTTAAAGGTAAGAACTTTTTGGGGTTAGAACTTTCCTTTAAAACTGATCCTGGTGTAACAGTGCGTTGGTCTGCTGTTCACTACTAACACCTATGTCTGCTTCCACAAACCCTCGAACCAGAATGCTGTGAGTGCAGCGGACTAGGTGTCTGGGAGGTCACAAAACTGTAAGCCAGCCTTAGTATGTATAACAGATCTCCTCTGGAATGAAACAGTTAGAGGGCAGATAGAATCTTAACAAGCTAAAATAAGATTATCACTGCTCCAGTGATTCCATTATCATTGCATGCTCCGTGTGTCCTTCCTTACCTCGGCATGAACTTCAGTTGGGCATTAAAGTGCGACTGAGCCTGAATGAAGCCGGTCTTCGGTAGGATCTCCATGTGTTTCCTCATTTCTGGGCAAACTTCAAAGGTCAGCTTCAAAGCTGTGCTGGCTCTGTCACGTCAAGGACATCATGGGATCAGTTCAATGCCAGCACACCAGGTGAATTCATGAAATAGCAGGTCATTCAGGACAGTCTAATAAATAATGCACAGGTGATAAGGCACAGGTGAAATGCATGATAAAAGTGGGACCTGCCTTAAAGGAGCAGACTGCAGGTCCACACACACACTGTATGGACACCCAGCCCCCTGATCCCAGATGCCTACGTTAATGACACTAACTTGGACATGGAGGGGACACTACTTCCTGTATTGAACTGGTGTCTGACGTAAACCTCATCCCACAGCAGGCAGACAGCGGTCCATCGTGAGTCTGGGTCTGTCTGAGGCTTCATCAAGGATGAACTATTTGGATTATTTTATCTCTATAATATTAGGTCTTGACTTACGTTGTGATTTGGCGCCATACAAATAAACCTGAACAGAACAGGAGTCCTCTGTTGCAGATTCATTGAGTCGCTCTAATGTGCTAGCTGTCTGGCTAATTTCATAGCCTGCAGGTCTCTAAGGCTCCTCCAACACTAAATTTCTTCCCTTTTAGCTCAGTCAGCTTGAATAAACAAGAGCAACAACTATTCCAGCGGGTTTCCTTCACGGACATCGCTGGACAAACCTGAACAACTCAGCAAGGACAGATGAAGGACTTTTGTTTGAGTGACACCGACAGAAATTGCCTCGTATGGAGTGATGTACCCCAAGTCCAAATCATTTAAATGACCCATTTTCCAGGAGCTCCAACAGATGGTCGCGCCCGTGGCTACAAGCTTCAGTTATAGCTGAGGCTGGCGATATAAATGGCTCTTCACCTTGGGAATTCTCCAACACATCCAACCACAGCCCACACCTTCAAAACATAATGACAAACAAGCGGGAAAGAAACGTTTGCTGGAGGTGATGTGTACGTACAGCGATAACATTCTGTAGTGTCTGCTTTCATCTTCAGAGCTACAAAGGTGAGCCGTGAGTGGGCCGCGGCCAAATAGACTGAGGGACCCTTCGTTTTTCGATTCCCCTCTCAAACGAAACGACCCAGTTTGAAGAGTGAGGTCAACCAGATGGTCGATTCCCCGAGGCAAGGACTCACAGGGACACTCAGTGGATATTAAGCTGCTATCTTTACTCCAGCTAAATGATAACCTTTAAATCGCTCTCGGAGGAATATTCATGGATACATAATCGTTTAGCGCAATTAGGCACATATAATTAACGAGGGCATTTAGCTGATCCTGTTTTACAGGTGGACTGTGACCAGTTTATTTCTGAAGCGATGTTTAATGACTTAAAGATGAAGCGATTCACAATATTTCCTTTCTTGGAATAATATCTACGTTTTATTTATTTATTGGTGGTAGATGTACATAATAAAACACGTGCTGATTCCTGACATTTAGTAAAACAATTCTGTACAAGAAATATGCCACGAGCACACCAGAGTATAGACTATAGGTCAAGTACGTAGATATTCTGTCTGTATACATTTTGGCTGAGGCTGTTCTTAATGGTTTCACTCTGGTCACTTCATTTCAAATAAGATATTAATGCTACAGAACTGACTGATATTTTAAACGATAGCGTTGAAGATCCATCTTTCCTGTTTCAACATGACAACTGGACCAAATCCATCCATCCATCATCTATACACCTTAATCCTTACTAGGCTCATGGGGGGCGGAGCCTATCCCAGCTGACTCAGGGTGAAGGCAGGTTCACCTGGACAGGTAACCAGTCTATCACAGGGCTACACTTAGAGACAGACAACCAAGCACACTCACATTCACACCTACAGACAATTTACAATCACCAATTAACCTCAGCATGTTTGTGGACTGTGGGAGGAAGCCGGAGAACCCGGAGAGAACCCACGCTGCACGGGGAGAACATGGAGACTCCACGCAGGAAGATCCCGGGTGTCCTCACCGGGACGCCAACCAGAGACCTTCTAGCTGCGAGGCAACGGTGCTAACCACCGAGCCACCTTGCAGCCCATGGACCAAATCAAGGTTCATAATAAAATGGTTTTCTTATGGAAAGCACAAGAACGGAGGCAGTTGTACAACAGATTAATGCAAATGGTTTTGAAATGAGTCTAATCTTTGGGTCTCTATATTAATTTGATGATGCAGCTGAGCTCTTAAAACAGCATCAAGATCATCAGTACTGCTTTTAAAGCTTTAGAAGAACAAATGCAACAAACTGCTTCTTCTGAAGTTAGGAAATGATCTCTTGTCTCTAACAAGAATAATCTAATAAAGACAGAAAAGCTTTGTAGTGTTGTGATACACAGAGACCCCGACGGGCTCTGAAAGGTAACACAACCGTACTGTGGGCGACTGCATAATTAGTTCAGAGAAATCTCGCCCTAAAAAGTAAAAAAAAAAGAAAGAAAAATTCAGGGCAACATTGCTAATGGGACCCATAGTAAAGCTGGCAATTTGGTCGGACTGTGTTGCAGAGAAGTTGCTCATGCAGGGTCTACACACAGCTGAATATGTGAGTGCCTGGACTTGAAGAGCCCACGGCTACAGCAGAGCCTGTGCCCTTTCTTAAAAGGGCCAGGTGGCTGTGCTTGTGTACTCCACATGTATTCCAAAGCCCCATGGGATACCGAGCCATCATGGCCAACGCTCTAGGCAACTGTCCCCATAATGCAGCACTGTCTGCTAAGAGCGCTGAAATATATTTTAAAACAACCAGCTGGAAGAACAGATTTTTCATTAACATCCATGTTTCTGTTTTCCCCAAAGAAAAAAATCAACTCTAACATCAACAACACACATTCCTCGGACCAAACGAAGCGGGATTCAGGGTTACGCTGAGATGAGGTGCAGCAGTCACGTTAGAAATACAGCAAACAGAGAGAAATCAAGGACAGGAGGCTGTGTGAAAGAAAAAGGCAGGTTGGTGTTTGTGGCCTGGGTTTGGCCAGGAATGCTCGACTCCCCGGCTAGTGCCAGTGGAGGAGGGCTTGAAAGTCCAGACTCAGTGTTTGAAATACAAAAAAAAGAAAACTCTGCCAACTGTGTTCAGAATATTTCGATCACTGGCTCACGAGCCAAAGTCAAACGCTGTACATTTTAAAGCCTCTTAAGAATTCTTTCAATTAGTAGGAGTGAAATTCAAATCACTGGCTCACAGACAAGATGGACATATTCAATTATGCTTTGTGCTGTTCGCTTAAAAAAAAAGAAAATCTGTCACACACTAAGGAGGACTTGTGGGATATCTAGAATCTACTCAAAGGGAAAACTGACAAATCGTGTGATGGAAGCAGCAGCTCTCTCATTGTTTCCCTCAAAAGCCTGCCAAGCTATTTTGTGTTCAAATTATTGTCTTGGAAGCAGAGTGACATATTGCATGGTTTGCTGGTGCAAGCATTAGCATTTTTATTTATTTATTTATTTATTTATTTACTTTAAAAGCCGCAGTTCACACTGACGCTGTCATCGTCATGTTGTCACATGTGCTGGTATGCCAGCGCACCAGATGGCAGTTGTCACAAATCTCCCCCGCCCCCACACATGCACTCCCTCCCCCCACATGATGTGACACAATGACTGGCTAGGTGATGGACCGCGCTGCTCCCGGTGCATTCTTAACCTTGGGCGTGCATCATAATGCATCACTTCCATAAACAAAAAGGATTTACTCCGGTTCTGTACGGCCGTATGGATGAAAGGGAATTACTGGAACGTGAGCTCCGTCCCTCGAATCATCCTTTGTTTAGAAACATTTATCAGCTAATGCATCTCTGTTTTATTATATCTGCATATTTGTCGAACGTCTCAGTACGCCGCTTGGGCTCTGAGCATAGTTAGGCAGGAAGTTTTATGTTGGGCTGAAAAGTAAGCGGGCGCTGTCAATTTAAAGGGATTTCCATGAGCCGTTTTTCTGTGAAAATGCCTGTTTTGGCAGAGACTGAGAATGTGAGGGAGTTTAGCATTGCATTCAGCAGATAAGCCAGCATGCTACATCAGCAGTCTATGCCACTTTCCAAACTCTATTTCAAGGATATTTCTGAGCATGACAACAAATAAAATGGAAATATGTCATGCAGGACTCATTTCAGCCGTCGTCTCGCTGGGCCGAGGGTTTAAACAGCCTCATTTAACTCTGATAGGTTTTAGTAATTCTGCAGTAACATAATGAGAAATGATTAATTTTTATTATGTTGTTTATGTTTTTGAGGTTTTCTAAGAATCCCAGAATTCTCTGCTACTATAAATCAATGACAGTATTATTTTACAGTCTGCTGTTAAAGCTCGTGGCTTTACCAAACCTCTGAATAGTGCTCGCTCTGTGTGGAGGCTCACTCCATCTTTTTGCATGACTTCAGGCTCCTACACAGTCCGTCACATGTGTTTGACCGTTTTTACCTGTTGCACAAATGCAGACATGCTGCTGCACGTTTACTGATCTCCAGTGCAGTTCTCGACTTCCTGGTCCATGAAAGTTGAGCTGTTTCAATTCAACTGGTTCAGTCAACCAGTGTGTTTAGTAATATTTTAAAAAATGTTGGTAGTAGGTGAGGGAAGGATTAGCATTTTTAGCCGTTAAATATCAGCATGATGTCAGAGAAATACCCTTACATCACAGAGTGGGGCGGAGCCAGTGTGACGTGCTGGTTTGGTAAACATATATAAAAAGAAGCACGACACAAGCAGCAGAGCAGCACTCTACTGTAATGCAGTGCAGTAGTTGAACCCTGACTAGCCTCAGACCCTGGAGGTGTCACTCCTGCATATGACACTGGAACACTGGGCATGAATCAGCTGAGCAGCGTTCACAGATACAAACACTGCTCAGACATATGACAAAATTTTGCCTTCTCAGGCTTCAGGACTCACCTGCTTTGGACCATGATGGTGTCTTGAAAAAGACGGTCAAACATGCAGATCTTCAGGTCGATGTTGGGCTGAACCACCCACACAGGAACGCTGACTGCTACACCCCTCACCTGGACAGGTATCTGTTTGAACCAGATCTCAGTCACATGTACAATTTGATTCTTTATGTGAACAAACCTCTGCGCGCTATCTATGTGTCTATAAACATTTTAAACCAACATCTCGTCTTCTACCTATGACAAGACTGCCAGCCTTCTGGGACTTACTGGTTTGGTGGTTACGTCAGAGAATGTGATGTGGAAGTCCAGTTTGTTCTCTCCTGGGATGGTCGGTGTGAAGACGACCTCCAGTTTGATGCTTTCAAATGGTCCGATCTCTCCCTCCCTCACCTAAACAAGCACATATCCAACAGCACGGATACACGTGTGATTTTAAAGTATTATCTCAAAGACATGATCTAACAGTCAACAGGACAAACGTAAAACACTGAGGCTTCTCAACACTACTGGACTGAAGTCTGGTGCACACAGAACACAGCATAGTTTCACCGTGTGTCTTCGAGAGAGACGTCATTTCTATGCAGTTGTTCTTTAAATGGACCTCTGCAAAGCATCGTGGTGGTGAGAGCAAAACAGAAGAGTGAGCAATTCAAGCAGCAAGTGACTCCACATGATGGGAACATGATCGTTTGATAGATAATCTGCCAATTAAGAGAGCAGCCTTCAACCACACGATGTGAACGTATCAGTCAAAATGACAACGACGGAGCCGAGGGCATGCCGGCGTACGCAACACACAGCCACAGCCGGCGCAGAGGGAGAGGTGATGCACCATTAGCCCCCCACCAGAGAGACATAATGAACCCTGAAAAACTCTGGAACTTCACATGGGCCACGAGGCACTCGCAGCATCATTGCTAAAAACAAAACAGAGAGGCAGAGGGCTGCACAGACAGATGACAGCCATAAAACCGCTCACAATGTTTCATAACTCAACAGGAAGATCACTGATAAAAGCGCTACAGAAAGGCGCCCCGTTTCTACATTTTAATGAGCAGAGCGATGCTCCCGGTGGGTCTATAGTTTTCCCTCTAACATCAGCTATGAGTCAAAATTACAACTTTATTGGTCCAATCAGTATTATTACCCTCCAATAGGATCGACCGTGTTTAGTGCAAAAGCCCCATCGAAAACTTAACTTGTCTGGCTAAGAATTATGCTTCGATAAGCCCAAAACAGTTGGACAAAACTGTGGTGTCGCTTAGCCATTCTGGAAAACACAGCACATTATGTTCTGGCTGCACCTCACTATCTTTCTGCTATAGGGGGAAAAAAAACACTCGTTTGTTTGTCTATTTCTTTAAACCAGTCGTCATGGGAAGGGTTAAGTGAAGGATGCGACTCGGTGTTTCCTCAAAATAGTGACAAGTGGAATTCTCGTGGTGGAGACAGGGAGACAAGATCTGCAGAAATAAACAGATGATGGAGCAGGATATACTCTAGAGCCTTGACGTTAGTACCGTGCAGACGTGCCTGCTGTCCTCAGGTTTTCAGTCAGATCCACCCTCACTCGTGACTTCCAGCTCAAAAACTAAGACGGCAACAGTCGAGGTCCAGCGATGGTCTCGACTTCAAAG